TCGGGAGATTCGTTGCACTGTACCTGCCAACCACCCAAGTCCCTATAGTGCGGACTTAACAATATTTTATGGCGTCAGGTCTAGGTGCTTTTTCTTCTAAAAATTAAAGTAAAGTTGATCCCGAGGTTCAAAACATTTTGATCATTCAATATTCACATTCAATTAACGCGTTATTTTACATAACAAATGTTTGATCGAAAAAGAAACAGAAAGATGTTTTCCAAAAAGTTATAAAATCGCCAAAGTGAGTTGAGTGTCGAAATGTGCCGAACGTAGAATGGCAAGACATTAACAATAGACGATCAATATGTGATACGCAATTACTATTTGCATGTATATGAAGTCTGGGAATTGGCGATGGAAAACCTGGGCAAGGAGGAGAAATAAGAATGAGGACAAAATAATATTTTTATCCTTGGAACCCCTTCGACCAGTGGTCGGGTGTGACGTTACCGAGTTGTACAGATTAAAAATGCATGATAATTGAAAGCGTGAGGCTTCTGGTAACATAAGGAAACTGCAGGATATTGATGAGGTAAATTACCTGTATCGGAAGGAAAAATGACTTGATAAAAAATCAAATGAATTCAAAGATGAATGCGTTAAGGTACCGGACCCTTCTTCTATTGATATGGAAGAAGGGTCCGCATGCCAGGTTATAAGTTAACACGAAAATGTTCACTCTAAACAAATGGAAAACAAATGATAAATATGACGATGTAAATGGAAGGACGATAAGATCCGGGGTGATTCATACAAAAAACAATGGCTCTTTTCAGAAATTTGGAGAAGGGTCTAAGCAAAAAAGAGACTTTAAAGAAATAATTCGCAGGAATAATAGACGCTCTGGGGCACATTAACGACATCAATCGGTGACAGAATAGCACAGCTTATCCAAGAAAGTTATGGTGGTTTTCGATATACTAATTAACTTCGAATTGCATCTCAAAGATATCTTATAATGGCAGACGTGAGTAAGATGTTAGGCAGCTACCTTTTAGAATATGAAGTCTGTTTGAGAAAATGGTGTTCCAACAGTGGAATTATTTGTTGGCGGGATGCGACTCGATCCAGAGGTGGTATTCCAACAGTGGAGTTATTATTAGCGGCAAATGACACAGCGGGACAAAATGAAATAATAGATCAGAACAACAGTGGAACAACCCGGTCTGGTAACTCTTGAAGTGTTTTGACGTATTTTTTATGGTGTTCGAAATCAGTGTTAATAAATATTATTTATTTTGAATCGATACCCTTCAAAAATCTTTTTGTTTCAAAAATTTAGATTCTTAAACAAAATAAAATAAGTGCATTGTGAAATCTAACTTTTAATCATAAAAATTGAAGTGATTAAATTTTTTTCGTGCCTTATTGAGATTTTGTGTTTTATTTTCTTGTTGTAATTTTCGTTTTGACATTGCATTTTTAATGGCTTGTTTATACGAAGGTTGCACCATTACAAGCACAACTGTGATAAGCATGCTCATTTCAAGTTTAAATAGAAGGCTTTTCGATAAAATTAGTGATCGTAATAATGGTTTCCGATGGGCATGTGTAGAACCTATCGCCTCTTTAAGGAATCTAAACTTGAAATGGTTGCCTTGAAAAGGGGCGTTGGCTCAGTTTATTCTCGCTATGAAAATTTTGAAAAAATGTTTAATAACTTTGAGTTTGCAGATGGTTCTCCAAAAAGGAAAAAATCGTTAGTAGTTGCTCAGGGTGACAATTTAATTGCGTTAAACTCACCCGTTGTGGTTCCGCCTCGCAACATTACTAATCCTAGTCCATGTGGAAACCATCTGGCGCTGCCAGCGCTTCACTCAAATGGTGGTTCCGCCACAATAACTTTAAATCTGAGAGATAGTTGTAGTTCACCGATCGAGACCTCCAATTCAAGCGCACCAAATGTCCTTCCACGCCCTCCTATTATACCTCCAATAGTTGTAAATGCTCCTAGCCCTTTACCTTCTCAACCTTCTACACCAGAAAATGAACCTTCTACGAGTAACAACGAATTAATTGTGGTTGCTCCTAGGAAAACTATATTTATTTCTAGTATTTCTAGTAGTTGCATTGGTACTAAATTAAAAGACATTAACGTAAATGAATACAAAGTTTTTAAATTTAACACTGCAGCTCCTCGAGAGATTTCCTCGTTTAAGGTTATTGTTCCAAATAACTTATTTAGTATCCCTGTTAGTAAACAATTTTGGCCAGATGGTGTATTAGTAAAAGAATTCTGGTATAGAGAAAGGGCAATACCTCCAACAGTGTTGCCTCTCTCAAAAAACTAATTATAAAAAATTCACTGAATATAGAAAATAACTTGGCAGTGTCGATGTGGATTCCATTATTTCAAGAAAACAACTTGGCAGTGTCAATATGGATTCCATTATTCCAAGATTTGCGTTTTGGTTTTCACTGGGTAGACAATATTTCTCAATATGCTATACTGATAAACTTATGTACAGAAAATGATCAGTATAGATCATATTTGCCCATAACTTCCATACATTCTCCGTATTTTGAAGGTTTTAGCCGCACTTTGCATTGTAATGGCGATAATTTGCAGCATTATTTTTTCAGAGCACTAACAACCTACCACATAACGCAATAAAATAGATCGATATAAAATTAAGCCAGTAAGAAGAAGTATGTATACAATAAGTATGCATACTATATTAAAGGATTATTTTTAAAGACAAACTCAAAAACATTTTAAGGAAATAATATAGCATTATCTGTGTATGGCCGAATGTGCCCCACTATAAAATGCCGAATCTACCCCCAATGTAATTTTTATGGTTTTTTGCCATTTTTGTCTATCAATCTTCTAAAAACATTATATATTTAATTATTTTTATAAGAATGTACATTGTAATTAACTACTTTTTAATAACACTGACTTTAAATTTAAAAAGTTTTATACACGAAATACTTACGAAATGAAATGGAAATATTACAAAAACATCTGTAAAAATACAAAAAACCGTGCATACAAATAAGCTTATTAGGTAGAGATTTCAAACTTTGTGACAGTTATTTATTTCGATATTCGATACCTATGTATCGAAATTAATAATGTACGGTGAGAGCTTCATAGCGAAAACGCAATTGCCGAAGGTGCCCCAGTCTCCCCTATGTATACTTCTTTTATAGAGTTGTCTAACATATACATAAACAGACCAAACAATTAGAGGTTTATTTATCTTACATAGAACATGGTGCAAACCGTTTAAGTAGCTTTAGTTTCGAATCTTCCAGAATTACTTTTTTTCTTGAGGGTTTCGATGACGTCACGACGAAATTGGTGTTTAGCATTACTATGTCATGCAGTCTTTTTATACCCTTCACCATAGTATGGAGGGTATATTAATTTTGTCATTCCGTTTGTAACTCATTGAAATATTCATTTCCGACTCTATAAAGTAAATATATTCTTGATCAGGGTAAAATTCTAAGACGATCTAGCGATGTCCGCCCGTCTGTTGTAATCACGCTATCTTCTGAAGGAATTGAAATAGATCGCCAATTTTTTTTTGCGTTTTTAAAACGAATTCGCTGAAAATTGCTAGAATGGGTTCTTATTGGGAAGCAAATTTTCTCAATACAAATTATAAATATATGCCCATTTTTCGGGTATTTTAGGGTTCTAGAGCGAACTAACTGTATTTTGGTATTTTGTAGTCGCATATGGTAACAAATCTTCTTACCAACAATTATTCATATTGACCCCCTTTTAGGGTAGTTCCCATATAACCCCCTTCTTACTCGAAATAGTCAGTTTTACCCTACAAATTATGGAATTCTAAGACGATTAAGCCATCGGTTGTAATCATTCCGCTTTCTAAGGAAATCTTGATAAACAAAACTCGAAGCTGACGATAATGAAATATATCGGCCAGCATTTAGGCATCTCCCCCAAATAAGAATTGAAAGAATTGAGACACAAAACAATAATATTGGGTATAGAACGGTATATACATTAGAATTTTTTTTTACCGGGTTAACCATGGTACAATTATAAAAGGTAACAGCAAGTCCCAGCTGATTTGATTCCAACGTAATACTAGTGTCAATATGAATTTGACAAATTATGTTTTTAAAAATCACCCAACAGGAAAATTGGGAACGCATAGAATTTGTAATTGTTCATTATTAAATGTGCTCCCGTATTCAACTTACTCAATCTGCCTGCTGGGAAAGTTTTTGGAAGCAAATCTTTCTTCAAGGAACAACTCGCTATTCCCTGCATTTTCATATGTGTTACACATATATATGGTTGTGGCTCAATTATAGGAAAGATGTGGAAGCGAAAGAAATATAAATTTGATAGATTTTCATTCATGTTTTTCAATTTTTATTTTGAGGATTCTAAAATATTTCATTTTCAAAATAAAAATAATTTGATGATAATTTGTTTGTTTGTTTACATTTTTCTGTCAAATGAGTTGACACTAGTAGAACTTACAACAACAAATTTCCATGTGGTTGTTGTATCGTTTTTTGTACAACAACACTTGCTGTTACCTTCTATTATTATACCATGGGGTTAACCTACTTTATGAGGATTTATTTGACATATATGCAAAGAAATTGACAATTGAAACCCACTGGGTTAACGATATTCGATTAAATGTAAATAAATTATAACCCCAAATATTAGCTAATTCCTACACTATGCAATCTAACGTTGTAATCTAAATTGCAGTAGTTTGTGGATTGAATATACAATCCTCAAACTACTGCGTTATTAGTGTCAGTCCACGCTTTGGTGTTTTTATTAAAAATTGCTGTAATTTCTATTTGGTGTACATAATGGTATACAATAACCGGTTTCTAAAATTATCGGTATAGGTTCACTTTTTGGTATGCTCCCTATATTTTCATTTCAAGTATCTGTCCTGTGGTGGAGAATATCCAAAGTTCGGCCCGACCGAACTTAACGCTTTTTCACATGTTTGAATTTTAATATATTTTTATTTATTGTACATTTTTAGATTGTGGGTTTTCGAACGAAGAAATACGCATTGTGGGTGGGAGACCAACTGGAATTAATCAGTACCCGTGGATGGCTCGAATTGTATACGATGGAAAATTTCATTGCGGTGGTTCACTTTTGACAAAGGATTACATATTAACTGCTGCTCATTGCGTAAAAAAACTTCGTAAATCTAAAATTCGTATAATATTTGGTGACCATGATCAAAAAATAACATCTGAATCAAACGCAATTCAGAGAGCTGTAACAAGTATAATAAAACATAGAAATTTTAATCCGGAGACGTACAATTATGATATAGCTTTGTTAAAATTACGAAAACCGATTGTATTTTCGAAAATAATAAAACCTATATGTTTACCTCGTTTTAACTACGACCCCTCAGGTAAGATAAAACATGTTTTTTGTAACCCAGTTGTGTATTAACAAGTGAAATTGGCGGTTAGTAGGGAGACAATTTATTCTACCCATTAATATACAGTGGTGGTCAATACATATACAACTGAAATTGAATATTCTGAAATATTAGAATACAACGCTTTCAATGCTTTGGTTCCAGTTGAAACTGCAATAGTAATTTTTCCCAGAAATTTTGTTATTTTGTTATTTTACTGTGAAATTTATTGATAAAATGGATAATTCGATATTAGCTTGGTCAAAACATATGCAACTCTGACGAATTTAAAATAAATCGTTATTAACATTTTTTGCGCGAAGTTTTAGTTTTCCTGAGTGCTATGAGGTAGTTTTAATAAATATTAAGTATGTCCCAGCTAATATAGAGTTGTCCATTTTAATAATAAATTTTACAGCAAAATACCAAAAATTTCTGGAAAACAATTACAATTACAGTTTTAATTGAACTTAAAGCGTAAAAAATAATAATATAAAGGCAAATAAAGCGGGGAAAATATAGATAAAAACCTAAAAATTACAAAAATCAAGGGTCTTGCAGTCTATTCGTCCTTTAGTCTCGCTAGAAAAAAGTTTTCCTACTCGAATTGATGAGAATCTTTGTTTCACAATTCATAAATGCTTATTTAAGTTTAGGTTAATAGTACTATTCATTGTAATGCAATTCAGTTCAGTGTAAGCTAAAGTATTTCTATTGGTAAAATATTCAAATAGTTATTTTAATTAGAGTTCAACCCATACAAAACGATTCCAAAAATCGTACATGGGGATATTGGAAGACCATTTCTGATGTTCATTCCGTCTCGGACTATCCTAGAGTGAACATCAACCCTAAAGATAATAGCGACCGAAGATGCTTCGTAAAATCTTGTGTCTGCCAATATAATAGATAGAGTCAATAACCCACGCACGCCACTGTCCACTTATCTGCCTATCTTTGGCATAGTATCCAAACTTATTGACTAGGCCTAATCTTTCAACAGTGTTGGCATTACGAAAGCGGAGACAAAACTTTAAACAATGGAACCCCCTAAATAGACGACATGTTATTGTGAGGATGTAAACGGATAATTATAATGATATTTGGGAAGGTTATTAATAGGAATAAACAGCGTAGTAGTAAAGACAAATATTAAGGATTGTTATTTGAAATTACTACCAATTTTGTTATTGGCCTAGTTGCGATGTCTTTTTGATTGAGAACATCAGCTATACGAACTCTAATACGTGTTAATAAAGACAAATATTAAGGATTGTTATTTGAAATTACTACCAATTTTGTTATTGGCCTAGTTGCGATGCCTTTTTGATTGAGAACATCAGCTACATGAACCCTTGTCTGGTCTAGGATATCCATTTTGCATTCTGCCCATTCGCCAACAATTTTGACAAAGGTTTTCGTCCGAATAACCCCATGCATATCTTTATCAAAATTTCTCTCGGGTTTCTTAATTTTAATTAATTTTTCACCGGGAACAGAAATATTGGTAGATACATTTCAACCGTTGCCAACGATTTTGGATGATGTTGGAGTTTCATGAATTTCAGGATCTAACGGAGTTAGAAATGCAGTACCAATCAGAAATAAGCTCCACTCATGGGAGTAAGTACGCCGTATGCGTCGATCAGTTGACCGTAGGGTAGGGGGTGCAGTGAGACCGTTAAAGTAAAAACTGAATAAAAACACAATAATTGTTGTATGTAAATTCTTTAATATTTATTGATAGGATGGTTGGTAGTAACAATTTTACTTTCGGCAACAATATGCATGATATATGTCCTTTATACTTAAAGGGGCGGCAAAACAAGTGGCAATTAATTACTCAACGTCAACAGCGCTAACCCAAGGATGCGATAAGCCGTAGCGCATACAATTTAACGAATTAAAGACCAAGATAGTGGTAAAATATTAGCATTTCCATATAAATATAAATTAAACATTCCCGACCCCCTTGAAACATCAACGTATGTTTCAAAACATTACAATTACTACACACATATGTTGTAAGAACCAACCTTAACTACACCGATCGCCATATATGAACTAGCTGAGTCGATCTGGACATGTGTGTCTGTCCATTAAAATTTATAAACACGATACAGGCCACAGTTATGGACCAATCGTAGGGTTTGGGAATTCCCGACTTTTTTTTAATTCCCGGGAAATCGAGAATTCAAAATTTTCATTCCCGGTTACCCGGGACCTTTCACAACCTTTGTAAGTTGAAATATTAAAGGGTAGGAATGATATTATATTAATTAAATAATTAGAATTATAAAAAATTTACGTTCTACGTCATTGTACAATAACAATTAAAAATAAATAATTAAGAATTCATTTTCAAACAAAAGTATTTTAGTACGTTTTTGGAAAAACATTGTATTAAGAACTATTTGTACACATTAACAAACATATGAAGAGTGCATTTGTGCATTCAACAGGTTGCTTGATATACTTTTTCTTATGTTGATGTCAAAAAGTCCAGCAATTGAAAATATTCTCCTACATTTTATAGATTTTTACTCACTTTATATAAAGCTTATTTCTTTAAAAAAAACTACAGTGACAAGGTTTTGATCTTATAGGGGTTGACTTTGCAACCATTTTAATTTAATTTCAAAACATGTATACCTTTGGAGTATCTTCATCACTACTAGATGACCAGATTCCAATTTAGTTTAGATATAAATTTTTACTTTAGTTTAGGTACAAATTTTAAGTCACGTCGGTCACTTACTTCTTTTTGTAATATCTGTGGAATTGAATAGTCGATGGAAGTTTGTTGATGTTACAATGTTTTAAGACAGCATCAACAATAATTTAAATGTATGGCATGATTCCAGCAAAATAACCCGTCAATAGGATTTAGAATAAATTTTCTCATTACGTTTGCCGTATATGAAACAGATGCTACAACGTGGATTTCAAAACAAAATTTCAGCATTTTTCTTCTATCATTTTTCTATTATATAAATCGGGTTTAAAATGAGCATCTTCCACTTATACACACATTAAAATCTCCCCTTGTAGTTGTTGTATTATCGATAACAAATAATACGACGGATGGATCAACGGATCCATTCTGTTTATGCCTTAAGCATTGAAATTTTTAATTCCGTATTAATATTTATTTAGAAATACAATTTCCCGGGAAATACTATCGGGAAATCCCGGGAATATCGATGTCAAAAAAATCGGAAATACCCGGGACGGGAATTCCCGACGCCAAACCCTAACCAATCGTCATAAAATGTTGTCTTCTGGACAGGTATTGGATTGGTGTATAGTGCAGTGAGAGCAATTGGAGCAAGGCTGGGAGTGAAGTAACGGATTCGGGATCCACTTCCGTTACAACGATAATTTGTAATATGAGACCACAGATGAATCTGCAGTAACAAATCCGTTTCTTAAGGGAACCCACTCCATTCTCGATTTTAATTTTTCAAGATTTTCAATGGGCTGGTATATCAATACCAATGCTTGTTAAGGTTTGTAACTTTGCACATATATATTTAAAGATTTAAAAGAGAAGAAAAATAATTTACAAAAAATTTTTGTTGTTGTTTTTTGTAATTAAAGAGAAGTCCTTATTTTTGATGGTGGGCATAATAACTCCTCACTGGAACATCGGAATCCGAAAATTCCAACGGTGTTAGAAAGAGTACATGGCTGTCTCTGGTATGAACTAGGATTATTGACTTCGCTCTAAAATTGACAAAATGGCGGACCTTTGAAAAATATTTTTGGAAAATCGCCGATTTTTTACCCCAAACTAAGTTAAAAAATAAGGAAGATCTTCACCGATTGGCTTTATACTAGTTCATACGATAGCTATACACTCACAGAGAAACGTGTAAAAATTTGGAATCGATTGGGTTATTAGTTTTTAAGTTATCGTGCCCGCCATTCGCAAAAGAGAAAAACTCGTTTAATGTTTGAGAAACCCTTTAACCGTCACTTGATGCTGACACAATAAATCGGCTATATCTTCAAGAGTTCTTGAGATTTTCACATGAAATTTTGTAGGGACATTCTTGAATTAGTGTAGATTCTAATTAAATAAAAAAAAATTGTTGACCCCGAGAATGGGGGGGGGGGTCCCCTTAAGTAAGAAATACAGATTCGAACTTCAATCAAGATTTTATTTTCCCGAAATGATATTCAAGGACTGGACCAAATGATATACCTCAGCAAGGCCGCTTAACAATAATATTTTCCAATAAATGTTGAAGAAATAAAATCAAATTTACGATTCTGGACACCAACCGATGTGGAAGATATAAATTTCGAGATACGAAAAGCAGGAACTGGATCTGACAACGATTTCTACCGATACAATTCCATGCCCAGAATCCATACATCTCAAACGAATGACAGTGTCTTGTTGGGAATCGTTATTATTAAAATTATACACATGTATGTTGCTTACAAAGCAAGTGCCTTAATAGGTTATGGATCTGAGGCAACATTCATTTTAGATAAACGCACACCCATGATATCTGGGCTTAACAACACAGTTTCAGCTGATGTTCATAGAGAATGCAATTTTACGTTTACGATGTAAACGTTTTCATCTCTCCAACAATCTTTCATCCAAAACAATCGCAGCTTGAGTTCGCAGATTCGCGTTTTATGAGAGATGCAAAATATATACCTTTGGTGGCACACATTCTTACTTTCTGGCTGACAAAATCAGATATGTGGATCAGTTATGGCTCAGGAGACAGCGTTTGGATGGATGTTGACTGGTCCAGTCACTATTCCCAGAACACAATCCACTGTAGTTTTTTACATTTGTTATATCTCTATCGACAAGGTGATTTTGCGCTTTTGGGAGGATAGATTCCGTAAGGATTATATGAAAAGTCCACAACTACATATGAAAAGGGAGATATGTGAGAGAAAAGAAATTAATAAAAAAACATTTACATGAATGATCCTTCGCTCTAAAAAGGCATAAAGACCAAAAT